CCATTATTAGAAACCACAATGTTCAAAAACCAGTGGGGGAACGTTTTAGCCTTCCAGGGCATTCAGTTGCTGGCCTAAGAGTAGCAGTTCTTTTACAAAGGAATTTCAAAGGGAGATTAGAAAGAGAGACTGCTGAATTGCAGCTAATCATGAAGCTCAAGACAATGCAAAGTCCTGGACTGAATTGAGACCTAGGTTTCTTCTCTCATTACCAATGCCTGCTATTGTCTTTTGGCAGCTGAAATCACTTCACTCTCCAAGATGTAAGGACAGATGGACTCACATTCCAGCTGTATCTGAAGAAGTGAGCAGTGACTCATGAAAGCTCCTGCCCTGCCACAAATTTTTTTGATGTTAAACACAGGACTCTCTCTCTCTCTCATATACCTGGCATAAAATGTTTTTGGTCTTAAATTTAGGGCTGTAAGCTAAGGAGCTTGTCCTATATTTTAACATCTGATTGGGCATGTATAGAGAGAGGGATAGAGGAATTTCATTTTACCCATTTCTCTTGAATCCCATGCTCAACCTGGTGCTATGGTAACAGTATGCTTGTGAACGTTTTCTTTTGAATAAGTACTTCATAACTTTTGATGCTGGTAGTGGTTCTTGGTACCTGTCATGATCCGAGGCCTACAATAGTGTAGCCTACTGGCTCAAGGGAGGCCTAGTGGTTCCAGGGAGTGACTATCAGGGGCGACATTTTCCAGGTCTCCAGTGGACCCTGTGATTGGTTGACAGGGGATTTGGAGGGAAAACGTACACCAGTAGAATAATAGAGGGTGGTGCCTGGGAAGACGAGATAAAAGACCTTGTGGGAGGGGGTTCCCTCCTCCCAGGTAGCAGAGTTAGTGTGAAGCTGTTGTGGTTGAAGGGATCCCTCATCCAAAAGGAGTGGGTCAGCTTGGGGCCAAATACCTAGAGAAGGCCAGGGGCAGTAGAGTCATACACATTAGGGTACCTTATTTTGCTGGTTCACCTAATTTACTGTGTTCATTTTTCCTACAAGTGGTTGAATTAAAGTTGTTAAATCTCTGTAATAAAAGTAGTTTGTTACTCTGCCTGGGTCCTCAGGCCTCATTCGGTCACTTATAAGGGGAAACCTACTGGAGAAGGAGTGTATAAAGGGGTAGGGTGAGTGCTCTGGGCCCTCCCAAGCAGACCCAGACCAGAGTGGTGGCAGCCATTAGAGAACCTTTCTAGGCACTGCCCGCAACAGGACCACATAGATCTCCACTGTCTTGGACACATTATATTAAAAGGAGCACCGGGGGAAGGCAGTCAGTTGGCAAGTAGGTATTCCTCCAGGAGTGAACAAGGCAGTAAAAGGTCCGTGTGGTGACCAGGTGCTCGGCAGCAGGAGACACAGAGGCAAGGCCTCAGAACTGGGAGGGGGAGCTGGGAGTCCTGACTCTCCCAGCAGGCAATTCCATACAAAGGTCAGGTGGTGGCAGTGGTTACCCGAGAGAGAAAGAAAAGCCTTGCCAGGAGTTGGAAAAACTTTGGAGGGCAGGGTGGAACCATTTTCCCACAAGAGGGGATTCGCTAAACATATTGAACAGAGGTCCATTAGTGGCTCTTAGCTACAAGGCATAGATGGAACACGATTTCCGGGGCAGTGATGCTCTGTATTCTTGGTGCATGGGAAGGGAGGGCAACAGTGGGAGGGCTTCAGGAGTTTTGGCCCGAATGGTGGAGCTCCATGTGTTTTGGCCACTGCATGACACAGAGTATTGGACTGGATGGTGCTTTTTGTTGCTAGCTTGTAGAGGCAGTAATTATAGAAGTGTGATGTAAAGCCTTGAGCTTTTCCTGAGATGTGTTGTTAACAACTGCCCATTTATGGCCCCGGTCACATGGAGCATTAGGCACGCTAGAGGGATGGAAGATAGGCGGATTTTCCGGGCGCGATCTCACTGCCACATCTGGGAAGCGTAGAGCTCCCGTGGCGCACCCGAGGCTTCCCGCCGAAGATGCGGGGTAAAAAACTAGTACCTCGGAGGTACTAGTTTCCGGAAACCGCAGGGAAAGGGCAGGTGTCTGATCATGTTTCTGGTGGCATCTGGCACCCGCCCATGTCCCATCACGAAAATGGTTTTCTCCCCCCAAGTCTCCACGGATGCGCACAAGCACCCAATGGAGCATGCAAATACTTGGGTTAAAAGAAAAAAAAACCCAGCCAATCCGCTTCTTTGCCGCACTGCAGGAGTGAGGTATGATCGACACCTCCCCGGCACCTCCCCCCAACCATGGGAAGTCGGCGGGACGTTTGATCCCGCTGCCGCGCAGTAGTTCGCTCCGGGGCAAACAGCCACGCCCCCCCCCCCCGTGATATCCGGCCCGTGTGACTGGGGCCTATGTAAGTTTCATGCCACTTCTTGTCATCATTATTCTTTTATCCTTCAGTTTATATTATGTTTATACTTATGGTACTTGGCTTACATGTTTTAACACAGGAGATGTGTTTGCTATAGCTCACAAGAGTGCATATAACCTATTTGAAGACAAATTGTTTCAGGTATTTAAACATATTTTGTTACTGCTGTAATCGTTTTACCTTACACTGTATGTGTCATTATTGTCATTATGTAATCTCTTTCATGTTTAGTCACTGAGGAAGTTCTTCGAAACAGAGTTCTTAATATCTGGATTCTTTGTATACTATTCTTCATACATCTTCACCTCAAGAGGAATCTTTTCTACTTTAAGATTGGACTTGATTGTGCTTATATTTTTGTATTTGTATCAATACTTTGGTTATTATTGAACTAGTGTTAGGGTCTTATTCACACAGATTATTATTCCCCTATGTGGGATTCTATCCGGCATAACTTTAGGTTTGTCAAAATTAGCTGTCCTGAAGACCAACCTATATGTCTGACTACGTACAGCTTTTACCTTCCCCAAGACTGTAAATTCCAAAATTACACAGTCACTACTACCCAGGGTGCCCACTACTTTCACCTCATCAACCAGTTCTTCCCTGTTGGTAAGAATCAAGTCCAAGACAGCAGATCCCCTTGTTTCCCTCTCCAATTTCTGGAAAATGAAGTTGTCAGCAAGACAAGTCAGGAATTTATTGGACCTTTCATTTTTAGCAGAGTTGGACTTCCAACAGATATCTGGGTAACTGAAATCTCCCATGACCACCATGTCCCATCTCTTTGAGAACTTTGTAATCTGTTCTAAGAGGGTCTCATCCAAATCCTCTGCCTGGCTTGGTGATCTATAGCAGACCCCCCCACCATCAGTATTATTTCTTTCTCCTTTTATTTTTACCCAGAGACTCTCAACTGGACTTCCATGCAGAAATTCACATATTTCCTCACAAGTATATTCCTCTTTTACATATAATGCTACTCCTCCACCCTTCCTCATTTATCTGACCCTTTTAAATAATTTGTACCCCTCAATCGTAATATTCCAATTGTGAGTGTCATCCCACCAAGTTTCAGTAACACCTATTAAGTCATAGTCCCCTGCCCATATTAGGACTTCAAGTTCCTCCTGCTTGTTTCCCATACACTCAATCCAATGGAGATAACCTTATTCTTCTTCATCACTGGTCTCTTGTTAGCCGAATTGCTCTTTAGGAGAGACAATTGGAACAGTTTAATAATCGGGATTCAGATCAAGTGTATACGCAGGATGGGCTAAGCCGTTACGTTTCAATGAAGAGACGAAACAGAAGTTAAAACAAATCTTTCTTTACTGGGTATGTTTGTTCAAGCACACAATAATAATAATAAAACCACTCAAGCATACAAGGACTAAGAAAATAAGGTAGATCTCAGCACAATCGCATTAGCAGGAATATCGTTGGTTTCTTGATAATATATATTTACCTATGTCGTGGCTCAGCTCCGAAACTTCCAGCGGGATGGGAGGGCGGAAGGGGTAGAAAATGGGGTAGGAACACGTGAATCCAGACCAGCCGGGAACACGTGGATTGACCTTAGCTGCAGACTAAGGCAAAGAGGCAATCAGGAATTTGGTATAGTAAGTGGGACAAGAGAGGTGTAAGCAGACAGGAAGAGGTCGTTGGTATGAAGAAGGGTCAAAGGGTAGGTAGCCCTCTTGGCTCTGTGCAAGATGTTTTAAGGTCTCGGCTGCGAGGGGAGGGGGTGGGCTCAAACGGATTACCAGGTAGCCCGACCCCAAAAGTCAGTGATTGGTTATGATGTCAATATTCAAACTATCGATTAACTAAAGGGGAGGTGTCTGGGCGGAGGCAGGAGGTACGTGCCGGGTCACCAGTAGCGCTGACGTGATGGTTGCTATGTGTAATGGACTTTCTATAGTTGGTCTGGCACGGGAGGACTTCTATTGTTACGCTTGTCAGGTGTAGACATTCGGTCTGGGCTAGGCTTGATTAGCTTCAGGGTGGTGATCAACCTTAATGTTCGCATACATAAAGAGCTTAACGACTCCGGAGACCTTGCTGGCTAGGTGATAATCATCCTATGCAGCTGGCATTGTCTTTGCTTGTCCCCTGGTTGAACCCTGTGCTTCACAGTTTCTTCACTAGCCCGTTCTGGGTCAAGCATATGTCCATAATCATAACTCATAACATAGTCCAAAATGGATGCCATTGGTAACACTCTCTCATGCTTCTGTGCGATTGTGCTTAACTTACATTATACTATAAGGGAACGACCATCTATCCCTCTTATCCTAGGTTATGCACATCCTTGAATATCTCACACAAACACACCGCCTCTGCCGAGCCATTCTTTCTTCCTGCTTCCTGCTAACGAACACCAAGAAAGTGAAATTTTAACTATGGGGGGCAAAATGGAAACAAAAGGCAATTACAGGTGCAGACATCATGGGATTGTCTAAAATGATGATTGGATGTGACCTAGGTAATTCCAAAGTTAAGAAGTAGAGGGAATTTCCTTCAGATTAGTTGCCCTCCTCAGTATAACAACAGATAGGGCATGCTTGGATCGGAATCCTGAATGCCCGCCCCCACTGAGGAACACTGTTATCAGCAGAGCTCAGTGAAGTTTGCCACCAAAAATGAAACAATCTGTCCATTTGTTCAGAACTTTCCTGAAGGCCCCCTTCACCTCCTTGTTGCGGAGGCTGTAAATGAGGGGGTTCAGCATAGGGGTGACGATGCAGAACATGGCAGAGACCAGAGTGTCTATTTCCAGGGAATAGCCAGCGCTTGGCTTGTTGTAGTTCAGGAATCCGTTTCCAATACAGAGAATGACAATGATGAGGTGTGAAGCACATGTGGAGAAGGCTTTGCGCCTGCCACCTTTGGAGCGAATCCTCAAAACAGAATCCAAGATGCATATGTAGGAGAGGATGATGAAGAGGATAGGGCACAGGCCCACAAAGAGGCTTGTGATGTGATTGGCCAGTTCATTGGCACGAGTATCACTGCAGGCGATTTGTAACAGTGGTGGGACATCGCAGAAGATGTGTGGGATCTGGTTGGCTCCGCAGAAGGACAACTGTGAAGCCAAGGAAGTATGAACCACCGAGTCCAGGAAGCCCCAGACCCAAGTGGCAGATGCTAGCTGGATACACACCCTCTTGCTCATGAGGACAGAGTAGTGCAGGGGCCTACAGATGGCTGCATAGCGGTCATAGGCCATGACAGCTATCAGTGCTGGCTCGCAGCCCACAAAGCCCATCAGGAAGAAAGCTTGCACCAGGCATTCCTCGTACAAAATCGTGTTTTGTCGGCGCAGGAAGTTGACAAGGATCTTGGGGACAATGACGGTGGAGACGCAAATGTCCAAGCAGGAGAGGTGACTGAGGAAGAAGTACATGGGGCTGTGAAGGCAGGAATCCACGAGGACCAGAATTAGTATCATCAAGTTGCCCAAAAGAATGGCCAGGTAGGCAGCCAGAAACACGACAAAGAGGAAGGCTGGGTCGCTTGGGAGGCCAGAGAACCCCAGGAAGATGAACTCTCTCACCTGTGTGTCATTGTCTGCAGCCATGGCGAAGAGAGGTTGCCTCTGTGAGGGGACAAAGGTAGCTTCATGAGATACAGTACAGTGCAGTGGTTAGAGTACCCTCCCCTTAGTTCTCTGGAGACAAGGCCCGATTGAAATATAACACACAAACCTGTCCAAAGGAAACAATGCAACCCGGGCTGAGAAACAGCATGACCCCTGACTCCCACCCAAAGCAAATGCTAAAATGAATACAAATGCCCTGATTTCCGGAGCTCAGCCCACTCCCTGGTAGATGGACAGTTGTATTCGAGTCAGAGGATAATCACACACCCTGCTCACACCTAAGTCATGCCGCTTTCTGCACAAATGTGATGGTTTCATCTGCTGCCAAACTTTATATCACCTTCTGTTTTATATTGTTTTTTATTTATATCATGGGAATGGAACTTATCATTTTCTTAACAGTGCCAAACTAGTGTTCTGAACAGTAGTTTTTTTTCCTGAGACATTTCTATTAATAGAAAGCCTTCCCAGAAAGATATACTAGACAAATGTATAGGCTTCAATGCAAAAATACCAGAAAATGATAAGATATTGCTACACACTGAAGACAAATTAGTTAAGAAACTGTATGTATGTAAGAAACTGTATGTAATAATGTTGGAAAATAAAACACAAGATTAAGTAATTAAAGATTCTATGGTTAAATGGGCGCAAAACCTAAGTCATAATATTGATTTAGATCAATGGTTACAGGTACGTAAAACAAATATAAAAATTACTAAAGCAATTTCATATAAAGAAAATATATATTAAATGTTTTATAGATGGTATATGACTCCAGATAAATTAGCAATGTTCTATCCTGATTTACCAAATCACTGTTTGAAATGTCAAAAGAGTGTTGGCTCATTTTTTCACATGTGGTGTACTTGTGATAGAGTTAAAAAAATTTGGCAATGGATTCATGAAATGTTACCAAAAAATGTTGGAATGTACCATACCCTTTATACCTGAATTATTTCTTTTGAATATAATGCCAAAAATTTGTAAAAAAACAAGATTTTTACGTTATTATACATGTAGTAACTACTGCAAGAATATTATATGCCAAATATTGGAGGAAGAAAGAAGTACCCTCGAAAGAAGAAACTATAAATAAAAGACTCAAAATCACTGAAATGGATAAACTGACTTTAATTCTCAGAGTATGAGATGAAATAAGTTTTGAAAACACATTGGGAAAGATATCATAATTGGTTGAAAGACTATAAAAAATTCAGGAGGTTGGACTAGATGACCTGCATGGTCCCTTCCAACTCTAACATTCTATGATTCTATGAAAAAGTGAACAATATCAATATAAGAATACATAATAAAATGTATATCTAAACATAATGCAAAATACTTTTTAAAATACACGGTGATAAAGATGAATAATATTTTAAACAGTTAATGTATGAGTTAATACAAAAGTTAAACCAAAGATGTATATGAAACCCTGGATTGTATATATTTATGTTTGTTTGTCTGTTCATCTATTATAAAATTATACACACACACACACGGCTCTTTTTGTAGCAGGAACTCCTTTGCATATCAGGCGACACACCCCTAAGGTAGCCAATCCTCCAAGAGCTTACAGTAGCCCCTGTAAGAAGAGCTCTGTAAGCTCTTGGAGGATTGGCTACATTAGGGGTGTTTTGCCTAATATGCAAAGGAGTTCCTGCTACAAAAAGGAACCTGTATATATATGTCCTTCCCAGAAATTCAGGGACATTATTCTATTTATTCTAAAATAATTTTATTTATTCCTTTATTTAGAAAATTTATATGCTGGCTCTCCAGAGGTCGACCTGGGGTGTCTTACAGCTACGATAATACTACATACCCATTCAGAACAGAAGGAGGAGTTGGAGAAGCTCTATTCTCTATGCTAAAACAAGACCAGGAGCGGATTGCGGGAAAGACCATGAATTGTTAATATCAAAAAAATTAGAATAAAGATTAAGAAAAACGCTGAAAGATTCATAGTGTTTAAATACAATCTAACAACATGCCTGAAGAGTTTACAGGCCATGTAAAGAGGACATTTGCATTATGAAGTTCAAATGAATGTGAACCAGAACTATGGGTAGAAATCAGAGATGTTATCAAGGAAGGGGGAGCGGCTGCGGCTCATTGATAGAGCATCTGCTTGGAATGCAGAAGGCACCAGGTTCAATTCCCGGCATCTCCAGGTAAAAGGATCAGGTAGGAAGGGCTGTGAAAGACCTCTGCCTGAGACCCTGGAGAGCAGCTGCCAGGCTGAATGGGCAATACTGACCCTGATGGCCCAAGGGTCTGGTTCAGTATAAGGCTGCTTCATGTTTGTGTTCATGTGTGAAGAGTGTGCAAAGACGATTCCTGAAGCCAAAAGAAATGAAAAGTCTCAGTGGAAGACTGATGAAACTCTTAAAATTGCTAAAGATAGACGGGAAGCAAAAGTAAAAACTGATAGAAATAGAATCAAAAGCCTAAAGGCAGGATTCCACCAACTCACACATAAAGGCAAAGAGAACTATTTTAATAATCAATGCTAAGAAATAGGAGAGAACAACCAAAAAGGAAGAACAAGAGATCTGTTCCACAAATTCCAAGAAATCAAAGGGAAATTTGAAGCATCCATGTCGAAAGGTCAACATGGAAATACAGTAACTGAACAGGAGAAAACTTTTCTAAAGGATGTGAACAATACACTAAAGAACTATACAAAAGAGATGACAGGATGACAGATTCCTTCCAAAAAGAATTTTTGAAGAAGAGCAAATAATTTTAGAAAGTGAAGTGAGAGCTGCACTGAGGGAAATTGGGAGAAACAAAACACCAGGAGTAGATGAGATATCAATGAAGCTATTCCAAGCCACAGAAACAGAGTGGACAGTTTCTGCTAGAAAACTATATGGGCAGTTTCTGCTAGAAAACTACTCACCTTTGCACATGGATAGATAGATGGACAGATGGATGGCTTCTCCTCCAGTTCAGCTCCAGTTCATGTTGGAAAGGGAAACCACATGGTCTTTCAGTGCCCCTGCTGCTAGATTGCCAGGTCAGAGTAGAGATATTGCTTAGCCTGAAGGCTACAGCATAGTGATGATGGGTAGTCCCCAGACATTGCCTCTACAATCGGTCTGGAAGGTCTCTCTCCATCTTCAGCATGAAGAGCATGTCCCTGTAACCAGTTCATACAAGACTGAGGTGGGTTGGAAGTGAGAATGCTTTACTTGGCCTTGGGGCCTTGGGGATGAACCTCAGAGGGAAACCCCCAGACAATGGTGTGCAATTGCTGGAACTTTCGAGAATTGGTGGCTCACCTGGGGCTTTTTAAGCAGACTCAGTGAAGCCATACACAATGGATATTGCCTCATAGTGTCAGGGGATACACTTGTACCCACAGAGGAGTCCAGAACATGTGGAGCATAGCCTTGCCTGATGACTTTGGGGAAACACCAATGTGTTGTAAACTTTCTCCCAGGAAATGCTGCCTGACTTGAAATCTTCTTAGAAGAAGAAGAAAAGATTGGATTTATACCCCGCCCTTCGCTTGGAGTTTCAGATTGGATTACAATCACCTTTCCGTTCTCCCCACAACACACACCCTTTGAGGTTGGTGGGGCTGAGAGAGCTCTTTTGAGAACTCCTCTTTCAAGAACAGCTCTGCCAGAACTATGGCTTGCCCATGGTCATCCAGCAGCTGCAAGTGAAGTAGAGGGGAATCAACTCCAGTTCTCCCAGATTAGATTCCACACACTTAACCAGTACAACAAACTGGCTTTCCAATTCATCAGTCTGCCAGCTCACTGCTCCCAAGAACGGAGACCAGCAATATGACCCTCTCTTGGACTGCTTGAGGACTATTCCAGCATCTTTCTGTCTTGAACTGCCTATCCTGAGATTCCAGATGCAACCCTGCCTTATCTATCACACCTTGTTTTCGGATCAGGTTCTGATCCATTGTTGGTCTAATCCTCCCCAACGAATCGGGACACTGTTCTACAGAAATGGTTCCGCTACAAAGACAGCTCCAATGAATGTATCTATTTGCTGAGGGAAGTGAGTGGAAGTGACATGATCAGCTTTAGCAAGTTCCAGAAACTCTATAGTAATCCTACCATCGAGATTCTGACCATTGCTAAAGCACTTCTGGGTAGCTCTAGGAATTGTCAGGAACTCTATGATCAGAACTTCCTGTAAGTCAACAAGGCCTTTTTCTTTTTATTTCCTGGACTACTGCATGCCCCTCTGGCCAATTTCCACCCACCAATCAGCTGAGCCTTAGTGTCAGGACCCAAAGCTAAACAACAAAGTACACCACTTCTGGGTAGCTCTAGGAATTGTCAGGAACTCTATGATCAGAACTTCCTGTAAGTCAACAAGGCCTTTTTCTTTTTATTTCCTGGACTACTGCATGCCCCTCTGGCCAATTTCCACCCACCAATCAGCTGAGCCTTAGTGTCAGGACCCAAAGCTAAACAACAAAGTACACGCTTCCAGGAAGGTTTTACTTTTATTGAAAAGCCATAGATGCAATAACACGAACACTGTTAGGAATGGTGAGTTACCTATGCACATAATAGGATATAGGGCATTCGTATGCGCCCCCCCCCCCATAGCAATGACCAATTGGGTAGGCTCCCGTGTGTGGGACATGACTGTATTTATTATTTATTATTTATTTATTATTTACATTTTTATCCCGCGCCCTGTTCCTGGTCATGACGAGTTTGATGACCCGGGGACCTGGGACGTCCAGTAAGTTCTGATTCCCAGACCGTAGTGCTCTTGGGGGAACATGTGGGGAAAGGCGGTCCCTTTAAGTAGTCTGGTCCCTGGCCATATAGGGCTTTAAATGTAATAACCAGCACTTTGAACCCGGTACACTATAGGCAACCAGTGCAACGCTTTCAGCACAGGCTGGATGTGATCTCGTCTAGGAAGATCCATCAACAACCTGGCTGCAGCATTCTGCACTAGTTGCAGCTTCCGAATTTGCGACAAAGGCA